TATACTTCATTTAACATTAGACGTCACACTATATCAGGTATATTTAAAAGACTCTGTAAATATTTTGAATAGGCGAAGAAAAGAGTACATTGTATAGTAAACACTTATTAATCGGCTCTGTTTCCAAGCCTTGCTGTATAATATATACGTATACTTCATTTAACATTAGACGTCACACTATATCAGGTATATTTAAAAGACTCTGTAAATATTTTGAATAGGCGAAGAAAAGAGTACATTGTATAGTAAACACTTATTAATCGGCTCTGTTTCCAAGCCTTGCTGTATAATATATACGTATACTTCATTTAACATTAGACGTCACACTATATCAGGTATATTTAAAAGACTCTGTAAATATTTTGAATAGGCGAAGAAAAGAGTACATTGTATAGTAAACACTTATTAATCGGCTCTGTTTCCAAGCCTTGCTGTATAATATATACGTATACTTCATTTAACATTAGACGTCACACTATATCAGGTATATTTAAAAGACTCTGTAAATATTTTGAATAGGCGAAGAAAAGAGTACATTGTATAGTAAACACTTATTAATCGGCTCTGTTTCCAAGCCTTGCTGTATAATATATACGTATACTTCATTTAACATTAGACGTCACACTATATCAGGTATATTTAAAAGACTCTGTAAATATTTTGAATAGGCGAAGAAAAGAGTACATTGTATAGTAAACACTTATTAATCGGCTCTGTTTCCAAGCCTTGCTGTATAATATATACGTATACTTCATTTAACATTAGACGTCACACTATATCAGGTATATTTAAAAGAACAAAGGCATGCGGCATGATGAATGAGATTTTGAACCGGAAAAAAACCCACGTTTTGTTTGATTATTACTCAAATTAACATTAATCATACTCACTTCGCGATTTATAAATGGCTAATCCTTCTGTCATACGAATCAAACGAAACGGTGAAACAGCTGAGTGAGAACCTCCATTACGAAGAACACGAGTCGAAAATATCATATTACAAAATGTCTGCAAAAACACTTTGTTTTCTCCTGGTAATCCTGGTGATATCTTACGACATTGAAGCATTCACAGCCGGCGCTGGAAATATTGGAAGCAGAGGAATGAAAAGAGGCTTAGTAAACAAGGTAAGGTGTTATCACGGACGCAAAACTAAGAATTTTTTTAAACCAAACCAATAACAAATTTTTGCCAGTTTTGAACTAGTTCGATGTCACAAAGAGGTCATGGCAATTTCTCTAATATAGTGAGTCAAATCAGTTTTCAAAGATATTCCTTCGTTCTTTTTGTGCTTAATTTTATGATTCCCCACAAAACGCAAACTTTAATTTCTAGCTAATATTTCATCGTGCAGTAAAGTAAAATTGGCTATGTGAAAATATTGTTTGAAAACCGTATATCAAGAATTGGTTTCAATTTTACTCGCTGTAAAAGTGAATTCGGTGGAACCGACAACAAGAATTACCCGTGGGGAAGTGATTGAAGAAAGAAGCATTAAACTCTTTCAAGATTCGTGAAGCATCAGTCAATTTTCCATTTTTCTTTTTTTTGCTCAAATTTCCAAGCTTTCTCTCTGTATTTTTGACGTTTTACAGCAACAGTATGTGGAAATAGATTTTTGCAATTTTCTTTGTAATAAGCGTTTGCTGTCTTAAAGTCAATATATTCGTAAATTACTTATAAAAAATAAATGCTTCGTTGTTGATTGAGCCAACTCTAAATACATTGTGCGAAAGTCAGCCATAAATGCAGCCTTACACTTTTACAGAAGAAGCACTGTAATTAATCCTTTATATAAAAAGTTGATAGTTTTACTAGGCTAGTGTTAGGCCTTGAAGGGGGGCAAAGGAAAACCGTTTTCTTCAAAGTAGGAAAAATGCGGGCTATCGAGGCTTCTCCAAAGACCAGAAATATATGGAAGTGAGATTGATCAGAATTTATAACTTTAACTATTCACTTTTAATATTTCACTGTAACGACTTTTAATCTCGTTCCGGCTCATAAATTCATATTGATTTTGTGCATATGATTTTGAAATATTTGAAAATTTATGGTCACAGGAACGCCATTTTCGGCAGGATGGGCAGTTGAGATCAATTGTTGAGGCTATTTTAATTTTTTCAGCGGCAGAATCATTGTGACTGAGGGTGGGGGGAGCAATTGCAAGCCCAACTAGTTATGGTAGCTAGTTTTAAAAAAAGGAAGTTGGATGCGGTAGTTTGACTGAAATATGTAGGTTGCAAAAAATCATAATCTAACTCAATTTAAACTGGATATATTTGGATATGATAGATAGTGGGGCTGCACTTCAAATTGCATAAAACATCCGCCAAATTTTCTAGTTTTCTTCTGGCTGAAGTCACTCACCAAGGCTTCTAGCTTTTAAATCTTTTTAGAATTTGTGAGTACCGGATGGGCCATCAGGAAAAGGGGACCTATAACCGAGACGTGGTGAACTGCATGCATTGTTTTATTAAGTCTCTTGAGTTTCATTTTTGGCATTATCTTTTAGGACTTTTAGACACAACATTTTGGCATACATTTCAATCGGTAAACAAAGGTTTGGTCATGAGAATACTAAAACACCCTTTTAAGGGACCAACGGGACCCTTTCTACGGGGTGGGAGGTGGATGGGTAGAGATATACTTCACTAGAGGGGCTGACATTGGCACGGGGGGACTTGCATGCCAAAAGTGGCCATGCACTCAAATAATGGAGGGTGCCCTTTACTGGATTTCTTGAGGGAGTCTTGCAGGGAAAACTGATACAGTATAAATGTTTATCAACATACTGGGTCTCTATATAGACGCAGCTCAATTATTAAATTTCCAGAATTGATCATACTGCAGCTCTTCTTTTACAGCTAGTAAAACCTGTACTGGTGTGATACAAACGGGTCGAATGAGTTCTTCTTACTGGAAATTTTATATTTCTTTTTCATTTTGACCTGAAAACATATTTATTATATAAACATAAGTGTTATATATCATTTGTTGTAAAACGCATTGCCACGGACGTTTTATTGTTTTTCACTGAATTTTGTTTATATAATAAACAGAAAAATACATGGGTGCTTGGAAATACCAGATTTATTTCTCGTGTTGAACATGATATCTCACTCGTTCGCTGCGCTCACTCGTGAGATATCATGTTCAACACTCGAAATAACTGATCTGGTATTTCCGCGCACCCATGTATTATTCTCTATATATACAGCTATTTCAATTAAGGTTGTCTACGAACAAAGCGGAAAAGTCGAATACGAGCGCGAAAGGCTGCTGGGAATCGCTCATTAATTTGATAGCGATTCCCAGCAGCCTTTCGCGCTCGTATTCGACTTTTCCGCTTTGCTCGTGGACAACCTTAATTTTGAAATAGCTGTATACAAGTGAATTGGCCTCTTGACTTGAAAGCATATATATACAAGTGAATTAACCTCTTCGCGACTCTCCTTAGCCCTCTTATATAGGCATGCTTTCCCGCGCGTTTTGTTCCTTGCAAATTTGGTCTCAACTGCTCGCTGCATGAGCTTATAGCAATAATTATATAAAAAATTATCAAAGTTTTCATCAATATTCTCGTTTTATCGGGCTTGAAAATAAAACATAGAAGATGTTCGCATGCCCGCCTCTCAACTTCAAATTATTAATTCAGCATAAATATTAAATACAGACAGATGTGCAGCTGTTCACGACTTTATAGGGGGGGGGGGCTTTATATACTGAGTAGCTACTGATATATTGTTTTTTGGATGGAAGATTTAAATTTCATATGTTTACAAAATGTTGGATGTTTGTTCACTGAAATGGTTTCAAACATATATCTGAATTGTTCTCAGGATTCTTCATATTCTTAAAATCATATTTCAATGAATAACGGCTGTGAGAATTATAATGAGATGCACGACACTAGTATATCCGTCATGTTCAGTTTTTTAGAGATATTAATATGAGCGCAAATATTATTTGAACTAGACTAATTATAAACATAAATTCCGCGCCTTGTCGAAATTTATCATTCAATTAAGATTAAGACAACTGGAATATTAATCTAGATTTATATGCGGTTAAAATGTTATTAATTATGGAACTGACATAGTAAATAGATATATAGTGCTGCCTTGCATGCATGCCTTATAATTGAGAAAATATCATATTTTGAAGCCAAAATCAGACCGTATATCCATAGATTATAATTAAGCAACGGTCGAATGGCAAAAAACGGAATAAAGAAAGTGAAATGACTAAAAAGTAAAAAGAATAGTGAAAAAGTCAGACACTGTTAAAATTCCTTCGATGTATAAGCGAGCAAACATTCACAAGTTAATTGAATTCATGGACGTGTGACTTCAGCATCATTGTGCAGAACATGAATTTTTCAAAATCTATTCCATCTACAATTATAATAAATTTACTGAAAAATAACAACATATTGGGTTAGAAACCTACTAGAAATGACACAGAGTCAGAAACGAGATACGCGGTATTTTTAAAACAATGGCAAATGCACGTTTAAAAATCTCGATACAAAATTCGCGAGATATCGATTGAGTCTCAGAATAAAAATAATATTGAAATGCCGAATTTGCTAAATACAATAGTCCTCTTGATGTTCTTAAGATTGAAAATTGATTACATCATATATTTAATAACATAGATTGAAATTTCGCAAGATATTTCGCGAGATTACGAGGAGTAATGCTACGAAAAATTTGTCGCCGCCCTTTTCAATGAGAAGTATTAAGCACAAGACTCAAGATTTCAAAATTTTCTGGGGAATCCACGGAATCGATCGAGTTTGTGGCCTGTTCCCACCACACCATTCATTATTCGGTCACCTATGCCATGGAAATTGATCTACAGGCAATTGATCTAATTTAATGTTAATTTAAATTTAATCACAAACTTGTAAAATTTCAATAAAGTTTCAATAAGATTCAATAAAAGTTTCAATAAGGAAATCAGGGTTGCATGCCAGATTGTTGAATAAATAAGCCAAACATTGTTATAAACGGCCCTTTGATGTCTTTGTTTCGAACAAAAAAAACAAAAGGTTATAATAATATTTGGCTTATTTATTCAGCAATCTGGCAACCCTGATGGAAATTAAGGTTGCAGGACATCCTTTTTGGCGTTTTGCGAAAAATCGCTTCTGCGCGCTCAATATCAGTCCGATTTTCATCAAATTTTCACCAAATGTTCTCCAGTGCATGCAAAACATGGTAAAGTTGTAAAATGAACAAACAATAAAATAATGTAAGAATTATTCAGGAAAATCTTAAATCGCGGTACCGTTACGCTTTTGAGTTGTGCTCCTGCTGGTTTTAAGTTATATTTATAAAAATATCATTTTTATACCGGTACAGTAAAATAGTTGTTCTAAAAAATAGTGTTCGGAAATTTTTGTTTATTTCGTCATTCCGCTGATATGGCGATTTCTTTGACGACTGCAATATATTTCTGAATTGTTTGAGTGAATTGCTCTTTATTTTTAAAATATCCTAAATTAAACAAAAACCCAAAAACAATTTTGAAACTGACGTCTTTAGCTATGTCCTGTGACAATTTGAGAACAATTGGTTAAAACCCGCAGGAGCACAACTCATTTGAAAATCAGTAATTACCGTAAACTTTTTCGGGAGAAAATTGAATTTGAATATTACATTTTCAATGTTTTTCTTATTGCTGCGAAATGTATTTTATTAAATAACTCTACGAGTTTTTAACATTTTTCGTTCAAACTTGGTCAGATAGTAGAACTAGTCTAATGCTTTCATGGAAACCAATAAAAAAATTTTAGGCAAAATTAACACTCAAAAGTGTTCTGCAACCTTAATAAAGAGTTCATCATAAATTTGGCTGATGTTTGTTTAATATACAAATCAGATCCTTATATGTTTTTTTTATATTTTAGGACTTCAGAATCTTCAAAAACATTTGTACATGGGCGAGTGAATACTGTCCTTCAAACTCTGATAACCGGTATGCAACGAGAGTTGCAAAGAACGAAGAAACTCCGAATATCCTGGAAACGGGAGAAGAAATTCTGTCACAGAAATGAACCATAAATACCCATATCAACGTGTATTTTATTTAAATCATTTGATGAAATAAATTGAGAAATAAGAACGAAAGACCAAAGAATATGTTGTTATATCTATTTGATTTTATGTTGTAATAATAAAAATGCAATTCGAAGATTATTTAATATATTGCCTATAAATTATGTTACCCTTTGTTAATCTTGTATCAGGATCTTTTATAGTTATACTTGTTGTATTCAGTGTATTCACGCAGTAATGAATTCGCACAGACGCATTGTTCTGTTATTAACAGAGGTCCCCGATTTCATAGGTGCGCGATTTCAAATTAAAGATGTGCTCTGTAACATGCGATACAAAAATATTCCTGGATAAATATTTCCACATCCATGCAGTGACGCAAAAGACGAAGAGGATATTAGAAATGATTATTTATTGCAAATAATTCAAGAGTCTTGATTGGCTAAGAGCTGTCTGTGAAATCGTCATATCCACTTGGTAGCTTCCCAAATTTGGAGTTATGACATCACCGTGGAATATGGAAAACAGATTCACCACGTTTGACGTAATTTCGTGTTATATTGAAAAACAATGTAACATGCTATGACGTCAAGCTAATTTATGCGGCTTATGCCAAAAGCGGGAAAGTACAAAAGGTGAGAAAAGCAGTGACTGGAGAGATGTGCAGGTTTGAATTACTTTTGTAGATGCATGGAAATTTGGAAACAAAAGTATATCATACATATTCAGAATAAAAGGAAGTAGTTTCTGAAACGTCATATACAAACGTCAGTCGAGATTTGTAGTGCTATCAAGCTTTACACAAAATATATCGCAAAAAGTAATAGTAACAATATTGATGGGTTTTCTAGATAAAAATTATCGAGTGTAAATTTATATACATTTATTAGACCTAACCATGCAGGAACAGCTGCGAAAAATGCAACTATACGTACTCTGCCAGGAATCGAACCTGCAGCCCTGTGATTTCGATGCGGCGCTCTAACCAACTCAATATACATAGCACAGTTGTTGAGCTCTAACCACAAGTTCATGAATACAAGATTGTGTTGGCATCTCACTCGATTGAATTATGGTTGGTGGGTTATGTAAATGGAAATTATCGAGTGCAACGGAATCGCAGGGCCGCAGATTCAATTCCTTCGCAGCTGTTCCTGGTTAGGTCTAATAAATGTACGTAAAATTACCTGGTCAGTGTCAGCATTGTCTGTATTTCGGTGTTGACTCACTGAGTTCGTTACGAATGACGTGGTAGGGACTGCACACAAATGACGTCATTTCAGAAGAGCGGGGGCGAGCCCGTGAGCTAACGTGTAAAGCAATTAGTGACGCTAACTGTGTTGATTATCTAATTGGCATAAAGTTGTTTTACGATGTGAAAACGAGCAAAATGCATCTTTTTTATAGTTTGTGCGTTTTCGCCCTCAGCGTTCTATTTGTAAGCGATTAATTTGTGCTCGGCTGTGTTGCAGCTAACTCATGCCTACCCCGCGGGCAGTTCCTGTTTCTTCCCCTGAAGTAGACGGTAAGATACATGAGTTTGCAAGCGCAATTACTACGGCGCAAATTGCTGTTTTATTTAAAGGGTCTTAAAGGTAAGAATTATTATAGTTTTATAAACATATTATATAGTATTGAATTGAAATTTTAAATTTTACATAATTTATCCATTGTTAACTAGCAAAAGTTTGTCCTTTTCTTGCGAATGCGAACTTTTAACACATTTAACGGAAAAAGAACCGTGTCTGGGCAATGTGACGTAACACAAGCACAAGTCACGTAATCAATCAAGCAGTGTGCATGCGCATTCAACAGACTTAAAATTTAAACATGTTCGCGTGAAGACGTTACGTGGCCAAAACAGTGAGCTCCATATATATCTGGAGCGAGGACTCAAGTCCAAAAAGTGAAGCCAGATTCGTGTTAACCACGCAGACAAAAACAATAGAAAGGGACTGGAACTGACGTCAAATAGCTCCTTCAATTTCCACCATCTTTGCGAGGAGTGTGCCGAAATTTCGTATTTTGACATCGATTTAAAGACTAATAATATTATTTATATATAATATGAATATTTTATTATATGGACAATCGTGTTTTACTGGAAACTAAAACACTCGTAGAACTCATACGTCATTACATCCGGGACCAGGTGCGCGTATTTTCCGTATTTCACCCCTGCTCGGTGACATACGGAGTTCGAAAATTTCCCGCCATTTTCATTGTTATTGTTTTGAAAATACAAATGGTCTTTGGTTCGTATTTAAAACGAAACTAACGTTGGAAATAAAACGAAAACATTTAAAAGACATCTTGAGATAAGTGAAATTTATTCGGCTTTGTGTGTATTTTTGTCACTCTGAGCAAGTCCATATAATAAACAGAGGTTTATACGGTTGCGAGAAGATATGGATTTATGTTCTCGTGTCAAAAACAATATCTCACTCGTTCGCTGCGCTCACGTGAGATATTGTTTTTGCCACTCGAACATAAAATCCCGCTTCGCAACCGCCTAATATCCTCTATATATATGATAATGAAAAAACTGGATTTAGCGACCTTCAGTAGGCTTCTACAGATTATGCTACAAAAATGCTGAAATTGTGCTCTACAAATGCTAAAAAGTTGCTCAAAAGTTGCTCGAAAAGTGAATAAGTTGCTCAAAAGTTGCTCGAAAATTGAATAAGTTGCTCAAAAGTTGCTCGAAAATTGGAAAAAAAAGTTGCTCCTAAAATGTCAAACGTTTCTCGTAACAAACAAGATATACATGACGCTTCTCCCAGCATTAGCATTTCACCACTTTTTCTTCATCATAAATATTGTGGGGTCATAAACAAATCGCTTTTAATTGTTTACAAGTGAAAATAATATTTAATTTTGTGTATGATATACTGAAATACTATTGAATGCAATTAATATTCCTAATCTAGTCTTATTCTGTGGTAGCAGGTCGCGAAAATGAGGTAACTTATTTCTCAGCATTTTTCAGTAAACTTTTCTTCGGTTTGGAACATTCTGCAGCTATGAATAATCTATAGACTCTATTTCTCATATGTATTTATAATAGTGTATTACTATTAGGCACATGAACTTTCGTAATACTTTCAAACTGCACCATTGTTGGGTTTGATAGCATTTATCAAATTAATGTAACTTGCAGTTATGGGGGTTGTCATGGATGTTTGCAAATATATCAAGCTGCTGACTGCCATATAGGATCTCCCAAACTTTAGAAGTAATGGTAAGCTAAAATGTTTGTTAATTGGCCAAGGATAAGGAAAATATTTTGGAACCTTCTCCTGCTATTCTTTAATTTGCCAAGAAAACGAGCTTGAAGAGAATATGGATCAAGGTATTCAAGGTTATCAATCAAGCATTTCTTTATCTTTCTATAAATAAAATTAGCAACATGGTCTATATTGCCAGAAATTTCCACAAATTATGCATTTCCTAGAGGAAGTTGCTTGAAGTTGCTGAGATTTGGAGCAACAGCGTGCGAGTTGACATGTTTAGTTAACTACTAGAAATACATGCATGCAATAACCCCTCGCCTGTTTTCAAAAGATGTATACTCAGTGCCGTTGCTAGCACTTCGTCTCAGGGGGTGTGTGAGGTTAGATAGAGGGGGGGGTGGTTACCAAAATGTTTCCAGATGTACAAAAAATTTTCAGGACATATAATAATTTTTCCGAAAATACAGTTGTTTTCCAAATTCACTTTCTCATGTCCTGAGAATTACCTGAATTCCCCTGAAAATCTTCTGCAAATCTACTTAAATTTACCTAAAAGTGCACTGGAAATCTACCTGAAATTCCTCATGAGCAATTATCAGGGGTGTTGCACCCCACCCCCCCCCCACCAGTGAGTTTCACGCATTCACGCAAACACTCTCTGATTTATTGTTCGTGTATTTCATCTCCCAAAATTTTGTGCATCATACTATAGAGCATTTTGCTGTTGTCATGGTCTAGCGTGGTTCAAATTTATGAATTTTTATCATATAAAGTATAGTGTTTTATGTACTATTTAAAACACGAGTAGGAGTGTTTTATCAGATATATAACGCGAGGCGCAGCCGAGCGTTATATATCTGATAAAACACGACAACGAGTGTTTTGAATAGCTTAAAATACGACTACAAAAGAATATTAATTTGGATGAACCATAGTATAATCATGCTAATTAAGGTGAACAATTATATAATGCCACATGTGTTTTATCAGATATAAAGTCACTCCACGTGACATATTATGGCTGACATGTTTGCCACAAGGTTTATGAATTATTAATGAGTATTTTAAAGAGATTTCGAGCACTGATAAAAATAATAATCTCACATGTGAAATTATTCATGATAATCTCACATGTGAAAATTATCGCCTTTTCAATTATCGCTTTTCTGTAAAAATTATCGTTTTTCAAAGACTGTCCTTTATATAATAAACAGAAAAATACATGGGTGGTTGGAAATACCAGATTTATTTTTCGTGTTGAAC